CACCCCTGCACTAGGACAGAACAGCTGAAACCAGGACACCTAGCATAGGAACGGAACGGGTGGGGGCTCTCCTAAGGTGCTATTCCCAGGTCTTTCTGAAGAGGCGGTCAATCTCTCTAAACCCCAAGTATACAGTCAGGAGCCACAGGATGCCCTAAAGAGCCTCCTTAGAACTCAAGGCCAGAGGGAGGACGGTTACTACGGGACTAACCTGTGGTTTGGCCGGGACTGTAGAAATCAAGACTATATAACGCTAAGAATAAACAGTTCTTTCCTGGGAACCACATGTCAGGTACGGTGCTAACCCCTGGCACAGCCCACAACAGCTGCTGAGGTAGCAGCATGGCAAGTGCTGTTAGTACCTGGCCCGCGGCCCTCAGTCTTCCCACAGCTGTGCCTCTCTACCTTAGCGCACTCAGAGCCACAGGGCAATGCTTGTTCTTCCACCCCATGCCGGCAGTAAGCTTGAGACATTTTCATCCAGAGAGCTGCAGCAGTTGGCACATAAACACCCCAGATTCCTCTCTTTTGGGGGACAGTATGTTCCACACTGTCCCCGAAGCTCCCAGGAGACCAACCTCCAGGCCCACAGCAGAGACTTGCTCACATTCCCCTCCTTCCTGATGCTTCCCCTTTTTCCTGACTGTATGTCTCCTCCCTCTCCCTTGCTCCTATCTTGCTCCCGAGTCATCGTTAAATACATTCCTTCAGTCGAGGGGCCAAATTCTGTTTTAAGGACACTGCCTGGTTATTGGACCACCCTATATGACTCCTGTTTCGTCAATAGAGCATCCAGATTTAGAGATTCCCCTTGCTTACAGAAGTGAGAAACAGTGGCAGAGGCGGGACCCAGAGCAGATGGCCACTCATAACGGATCGATCCCATCAACTCCTATGAGCCTGGCACCAACCTAGGAAGGGACTGGAATTCCAGCTCCCTTCTAAATCACAGCTGACTCCATGCTCTGGTCCCAGGTCCCCACAAGGCAGCAGTCTGGATGCAACGATCAAAAGCAATCCTGGAGGAGATTCTGACAAAGACAGAACCCACTCACAAGGACCAATCACCGTAAGTCTTTTTCCCGTGGAGTTCTCAGACCTGGACCAAGTCAGCAAGGCACAGCCCAGCTGCCAGGAAAGCCAGGCCAGTATGGTGAGGCAGTAGAGTTGACAGGACAAAGGCTACTCAGCCTGCATGGTCCTGGAGGTAGCGGACCCTCCAAGTGGGTCCTGAGCTACCCTTCTGTGGCTACATCATTCAGGAAGATCCTTGAGCCAAAGGAGCCCATGCCCCGCCACCCAAAGGACTGTTGAAGTCCAGAAGAATAGAATGTGCAGTTCTGGAGATTACCAGTGGGGATGTACTTCAAGTCAGGAGGCCACAACTCTTACAGATCAGGGAAATGGACGCCAAGAGGAGGAATAACTCCCAGTGGCCCCTTAACAGAGTTTGAAAGCCAGCGTTCAGTTCAGCTAGGCACCATTCCCAGCCACTGTGCCTGCTCCGCTCGCCATGTTATGTGCAATGGGAAAACTATTCCTTCCCGCACTTTCCTCTGTTGTCTTCCCAGCAGCCAGGAGAGGATGCTGTGGTAAGGACCACTTCCTCATCTCCCAGGAAAAGAATCCGAAGTCCAGCGTCACTTCACTAAAGACACCTGGGCCTTTAGTTCCTCATGGCTCTGAGGGACCTGGGACCACAGGAAGACAGTGCAAGGAAAGAAATCAAGGCTAGAGACAGGGCCTGGTGGGTGGGGAGGGGAGCTCCCAGAATCTTCCCAAAGGCTCCCAGGGACTAGATGTCAAGGAGTGAAATCTGTCTAGCTTGAACACATCCAAGGCTCAGGGGCATTTGAGTGTCTTAGCCATTCCTTCATACCTGTCCTGTATCAAGCCTTCTTGTCAGACTTCCTTTGGACTACCAGCTCCCAAATAATGACATGGAGACTTATTATTAATTATGAAAGCTTGGCCTTAGCTTAGGCTTGTTCCCAACTAGTTCTTATAACTTAAATTAACCTGTTTCTATTAATCTACGTTCTGCCATGTGGCTCTTTACCTCTCCTCTATTCTGCATATCTGGCTCCCTCCTTGTCTGATTGGCAAAATCCCTCATGCCTCAGATTCTTCCTGAGTTCCTCTCTCTCCCTGGAAGTCCCGCCTATTCTCTCCTGCCATTGAGCTATTGGTCATTAAGTTCTTTTTTAAACCAATCAGAAGGCACCAGGAAGAGACACATCTTTGCAATGTGCAAAAAAGATTTCACAGCGCTGTCCACTCCCACACCAGCTACCAAGTACACATGCCACGAAGGATTCCAGATTTGTCAATTAAAACTTATTAGTATGGCCCTCTGTACTCCCTCCTCCACAAAGACAATCAGAGCAAGAGACTATGTCTAGCCCTCTTTGACGGCCTGGGTTTTCTGCTGGTAGCTGGCAGGGTTTGATGTGATTTTCTCAGAACTTCTGGGCCTTTAAATGAAAAGTGACCTGGCAGGACAGCAGAAGAGTTGAGCTGGTGGAACTTCTGTTTTTTTGGATTGGCAGCCAGACTTTCCAGCCCACAGGCCCTTCATTTAGTCACAGACAATGTGTGAGTGTGCCCCCTAGAGGCAACCGTAAGCCGTCACAAGACAGTGAGGTGAGTGAGCATGCAGGTATGTATGTGTGTTGAGATTGGAAGTTGACAAAAAACAGACACAGGGTGGTGATGGCCAAGAGAACAGAAGAAGATGAGGCACAGAGCCATATGTTTGGCAGCTGTGCAAATGATTCCTGCTGAGGCTTAGAATGTTCTAGAACCTGGAATGATCAACGGTCTCCATGTGTGCCTAGAATGTTAGAAGTTTGAAGAATGAGTAGCCAAGTGGCAAGGCCAAGATTCAGACTATATAGCTGGTATGAATAGGGGATGGGCAGAGGAGGTGGGCAGGGGTCGGGTACCAGGGTCACTGAGGCAGGCACTAAGCATGGGGAGGTGGGTGGAACAGCAGGGCTAATCTGTCCCCTCTCTGTGCATGTGGCTACTCAGTTCTCTCAAGAGGCTGGGATGTAGGTTCCCCCAGCCCTTGTCTTACAAATGAGGGCTAGAAGAACCATGAATCCAGCCAAGATTTGATCAGGCACCCAAAGTCTGCCAGCAGGAGCCCCTCACCTCAGTTTCGATCTAGCCTAAAGAGAATATTCCCACTCGCTCCCAGAGCACCAGTGGCATCTGACGATGAGGACAGCAGTGGGAAGGGCCCAAAGGAGCTGAGACAGGCCTGAGGGGCGCCAAGTTCTTAATGTTACTCAGCTGTGCCTTGCCGGGAGGCTGGCCTGGGACCTGGGCAACCGGAGCACTATGACTCGGATAGGCCGGGAGAGATGAGTGAGTCAGCCAGATGCAGCAGCCAAGGCCGCCATTTGCCTGTGGCTCCGGGAGCAGGAGCAGGCTCTGCAGATGTCTGTCTAGAGTGTTGAGGGGCAGCTGCTGTGGCCAGGCGTCTACCTGGGACACTCGGTGTTGAGCACCAGCCTTCATGTCCTCTTTGCCTAAAATCCAACATTGTTTCCCAAGAACTAACCCCCCAAGGATATGAGAGATGCTCAAGGTTGTATACTCTGAGAATATGAGGAGACCAGACATGGATGATATTGTAAGATGAGCTCCAAGGCCCCCCCAGATGACCTGATAAAGGGAATAAAAGACATACACACACACACACACACACACACACACACACACACACACACACACACGCATGCAGGAATGCCTCAGCCTCACCGAAGTGGCCTTCTGACCACTGAAAGGTCTGCGTGTCATTCACACTGTGTCTGTCTCCAGTCTCCGCTGGGCACAGCAGACAGATGGTACCGGGCTGAGCCGAGGGAAAGAACCCTATCCAGATGCCAGCCTCCAGTCAGGCCGGCTCGGCCCAGAAAAACTCTTGCAGGTGTATGTACCACACAAACTCTGGCCCTGGCCCTTGTCTATATCCTGCTGGGAAGAATGTGAGTAAGTGAGAGCCCAGGATCCCTACAAATCCCCCCCTGGAAAGCCAATCTTGTCCCAAGAGCAGGAAGAAGAGTTTGCTATTCCAGAGGACTGGGGACAAGGCCCATGCCATAGACAATACTCTACTGCTCAGGTGAGAGCAGGGAGCTAAATTCCACAACAGGACAGGAGCCCATTGGCCCTTGAGGAAGAACAGTAGCCTTGGGAGTGAGACAGGAGAGGCATGTCACCAAGGCAGTGAAGATCAGATATAGATGATGTGAAGTGTGGCTGCAGATCTAGACCCCAAGTGGAAATGGGTTTATGTCCCCACCCCTTCTGCACCCTTCTCCTGGAACCTCCCTTTCCAATACTTCCCCCTACTTCCCTGCATGTAGACATTACTGTGGCATCTCTCAGATGCCTGGCACCTCAACCCTCTGACCAAAGGAATAGACTCAAGGTTGAGCTGGTGACACCACCAGACTGGCCACAATCCGTCTTCAGGACTTCAGACAGCAATACGAGACAGGTGGCCTGGCCAGCAGTAGCAGGTGCATGAGTGGAGAAGACTTTGTTTTGTGGTTTTGTCCAGCCTTCTGCAATCTCTGCTCTGTTCCTCCCTCATCTGAAGGCTTGTACTGCTAGGTGGGCCTCTTGGTCTTAGCCTGGCAATGTTTCATTTCTGGCATGGGTAGCTGGGGACAGGGTCCAGTTCTCGGCAACCAGCCAGGACCCCTTCCTCAGTGCATATGGAGCATTGTTGACCTCCCTAGAGCAGCGCCCTGACCTGATCCCACTTCTAGCAGAGCCTGAACCTTTCACATGAGTCTACTTGTTTTCCTGACTCTCCTTTCCCAAAATGGTCAGCTTAGAGGGCAGACCCCACCCAGTGACGATCACAGAGGTGCTAACTGCATTCCCAAAATGGAGTCCCATGTGTCAAATTCTGAGAATGTGAAGCCAGGGAAGACCAGGAGGGGGCACTCTCTCACACGTGCTAAAGAGCAAGAACTATCAGAAGAGACTGCCAGATCCACAGTCCAACAGGAGGGCCTTCGTGCTTCACACAGAACGCCGAGAACATCTAGGCTCAGCCTAACGGCCTGTCCAACATGGACCGATGCCACTCTTGTTACTGAACCTCTCAGCCAAGGATAATTGCTTCAAGACAACTTACGCAACCCCCTCCATTTTACCTTTGAGAACCCTCACCAGGCTGGGAGTGTGACTTCGCGGTAGAACATTTGTCTAGCATGCACAAGGCTCTGGGTTCTGCCCTCCGCACTGCACCATAAACAAAAGCAAAACTCTCCTCTTCCAGTGTCTCCCTGAGTATTCCACATTTCCCCCCGTGCTGTGGAGTTCTGTTGCCTGACTTTCCTGATCCGGTTCTCTCTTTTGTTTTTTATGCTTCATTCACGAATCTGGTTTTTAAAGATCTGCGTTACCCCAATCCAGCAGGGAGCCAGGCATGAAGACGTTCAGAAGTGACCAGTAGGGTGAGTGACCAGTGACCAGTAGGGCGAGTGACCAGTGACCAGTAGGGCGAGTGGTAGCAGTACTGAGTTTGGTTCTGGATAGGTGAATGGAGGAGGTTGGGACAATGACTAAGTGATAGTTTAATAGTTGGGTCAGCTCCCATAGGGACAGGTGAGTAAGGGACAGGTAAGGGGCAGACACTGAGCCAGCAGGAGTCAAGCAACATATTGACATAAAGTTTTAAGCATTTTTTTGTATGCCAGGCAGTCTTGCCCAGATGACACTGTGTTGATGTCAGGTCTAGTCCTTCCCCACAAGGAAGAGACTCTACAGAGAAGACTGACAGAGGAGCAATAAGGAGGGCAGGTGACCAAGCTGTGGTGATGACAGTTCGACAGAGGTCCTGCAGGCTGACTCTCCAGAGACACAGACCTGTGACCACAACAGAGTTCCCCTTTCCTCCTGCCTCCAGCTGTGGACATGTGCAAAAGACCCTAGTTACTGTCCCTCTCTGACCTGCAACCAGAAAAGCCAAGGTTCTGTAGCTCAGAGGGAAGAGGACATCCCTGGATAAGGAATGCAGAAAAAGGGTCCTGAGCCTGGACTGTGGAGTGGGGCTGATGAGGATGGACACTGCTCAGAAAGATTTCACTGTTAAGGCAGTGGTGGTATGCGGTTGAATACACAAGCCCTGGAGGGGCAGAGCCTACCTGCCTAGGCAAGGGGCAGACAGACTGACGATGGAAAACCCAGGATTCAGCTTCTAAGAGCCAGGCTCAGTTCGCTGTTCTCTAAGCTCACCTTGCATGGACATTCAGTGAATAGTGGAATCCAAAAACTGAAATTATAACCTCTTCACACACGCTGGTTGCCTAGTTAGAAGAAAGCTGCTGCCAAAATCCTAGTGAGATGGCATGCCCAGTCCCAGCCCTGTGTGCCCTTGGCATGACATGCCTACCTCCTCTTCCACCTAAGTCCTGGCAGGATTGCTCCTAGATCACTAGGATGTGGATATAAGATGGGTAACCCCAAAAGGGACTGTCACCATCAAATACTCAGGACAAATTTTGATAGATTTATCAACAGACAGCAGCTCTCTGCCAACTACACACCTGAGATTGTGAGGGGATGCCCAGGACAGCAATGTGGACTCAGACAAGGTGGCTATGAAGGAGTCTCTACCATGCTTCCCCAGCTGTCCTCAGATCACATGACAAACTCCAGGGCTCAAGTGAGTGACCCGGAGATAAAACCAGGGTGGACCAGACTGGCTCGGCATCAGCCTGACTGCTGAGCAGAACAGCGTGCAGGTCTGCTGATATCAAACCTTCCAAGTCTCGAAAGGAGCCAGAAATGCTGATGTGTGTGTGACGGCTCCAACTTCCAAACGCTGGCGATCAGACTTGTTTTTAAGAAAACACCATATGGTTTGAAGCAGGCGAGGCTTTGGAGACTAGCTCGCAGGCTGCCTCTCTGAGGGTCTCTAGTGCCCTGACTTCTGTGTGGATTGGCGTGGGTTGGGGTAGAGAGAGAAAAGAATCAAAGGAGGGAGGTGCTTTCAGATCATCAGGCGGCACAGTTGCACGCTGGGCATGGTCCAGAGGCGGCTGATACTAGAGCAGCCCAATTGCCCTGCAATGGCTCATGCTGGCCGTCCACAGCCTTCCTGTCTTGTCAGACTCAAAAGTCATGACTGTCCCATGTGACTGAGGCTGGGTAACTTTAAGTCCCTTCCTCAAAGTTGATCCTTTGAGATAGGTTTGGGCAGTAGGATGCACTGAACTTCCCACAGCCTCCTAGAGAAGTCAGGGAAGGACAGAATGATCGAGAGATAAACTCTGCCTCTTCCCCGCAAGGGCTGTAACAAACTTTTCTGTGCCTCAGTTTCCACATCTCCAACCACGGAAGGCCAACAGAAACAGGGTGACGGATGCAGACAAGGAGGATCAGAAAACGGACTTGCTTTACGTTTTTAAAGGCGGGGTCTCACATGTCCCAGGTTGACCTTGACTTCACTGTGACTGAGGACAAGTTTGAGGACCTCTGCTCCCCAGGATGACAGGATTGCTGTGCGTCTCCAGGGCTACTTCACATGGTAGGGTTCAAACCCAGGGCCTTGTGCATGCGAGGCCAGCCCTCTACCAACCGAGCCATAGCCCCAGCACCAACCTGGCTTGCTTTGAACTTCAATTTAAACAGCTGTAATTTACAAAAGGTGTTCTCAAAGAGGAATGGCAGGTCCCTAATCTCAGACTTGGACTCCGAACTCCTCATCTGGGCCCGGATCCTTCATAGAGAAGCTTCGTCATGGTAAAAGGCAGCCGTGGTGTAGATGAGGCAAGAACTAGCTTTCCCAAGGCCCCCTCTCTAAGCCAGTGTGGTCGCTTGCTGTGATCATGGGCACACTCCACTCAGGCTGTTTCCACCTCTATAGGAGAGAAGACATTTACCCTGGAGCCCCCTTGTTTCTACCAGCTCCTGGGTGCCAGGGTCCATGGTGAGACCTGCCTCTGTAGTCCAAACCGAAGTTGTTCTGCACATGCTCAGAGACCCCTTTATCTTAATTAAGCATAAAAATTAGGAAATTCCAAGCTAAGCTTTCCCGAATTGTGTGGGTAGAAGAAATGTTTGAATCTGCTTTCTTGGCGTTGTCTTTGCAAGGCAAGCGCTTCCAAATGTTTGGCCCAGTCCCTTGGCCTCAGCCTCCCCCTCATTGCCTGTCCTCAGGAGGAAGGCTCCAGAGATAAGGGGGGAGTAGGTCTGAGCCAATCAGGGGGCCATACACTGACCGTGGATGACCCCTGGCTGGGTCTTCCCAACACCTGGATGACTGGCTGCTCTGGACTTGCTCTGTGCCAGCTGTGCTTGGCAGCAGCCCTCTGTCAATCAGGGGCTTGGGTCTGGAAACGTAGAATGCTACAAACAAAGGCAGGGGTGAGAGGGTAACGCCTGGTTAGGAAACATTGAAATTCAGCCTGGTTGCCTTCCAGGCCTAAGAACAGGCTGTTCGGTAGTTTGCAGGGCTGAAGGGACTGATGGAGGAGGAGGTGCAGCCACCATCTTGCAAGATGAGTAAAGCCCTCCATCAGGCCTGCTCATCTGGAGGAACAGTACTGACGAGACACAGAAGGGTCAGACCAAGGCTCTGGGCTTGTATGTAAATGACTCCTGTGTCACTGTGACCAGAACACCTGACAGAAACGGTGCAAGGGAAGAAATGGTCCTTCTGGTTCTTGATTGCAGATAGAGTTCCTGCCCACCGTTGTCAAGGAAGGAGTGGTGGAATTCCTGGCAGAGGGATCATGTGATAGAAGACTCTACTTCTACCCGCTATGACCCACCCCCTAACACCCCCACAACCTCCCCATGTAGTACCACTAGCTGGGAAACAAGCCAGCAACACATGAACCTGTGGACACATTTCAGGTTACCACCACACCTTAGAAACAAGCTTACTACTTACTAGATGGGTGGATGAGGCCAAGTACCTTAATCCATTCCTGTTGCTATAATAGAATACTTGAGACTCGGTGGTTTATAAGAAATAGAGGTTTATTTGGCTCACATTTCTGGAGACTGCAAAGTCTAAGATCACAGGGGTTTCTGTATTGCTTTTAATTCATAGCAAAGAGTAGTACCTCACTTCATAATGACCCGTTCTCATGATGGCTGGCTGAGTCCCATGAGGGCAAGAGCCTCACTGGCCCAACTCTGAGAGCCCCACCCCACCTCCTGTCTCTGCTTCACTGAGACCACATTCTACACGGGTTCTGGGTGGGCACACTGGGGTGCCACACACCAATCTATTTCTGACAGAGGGGTGGCATGAAGATTAACACAGAGCAGCAAGAGGACTCTAACAATGACTGCTGTGTGCATCTTGGTGTCATAAAATAGAGCTCCAGAGACCATCCACAGCCTCTAGAACCTAGTAGAGAAGAAAACCAGATATTGGCAGAGGCATTCCCAGTGCCATTTATCCATACTCTAACCGCTTTCTCACCCAATCCCCTCACAATGAATTGCTACTAATGGCCCGTTCTAGTGCAGAACTATCTGCCTACAGTCAAGGATGCTAGGAGACATGATACGGGAGAATTGTCTGTATTCTGTCAATCATGTTTTAAATAATTGCTGATTGGCCAGACAGGAAGTATAGGCGGGTCAACCAGACAGGAAGTAGAGGTGGGGCAATAAGAACAGGAGAATTCTGGGAAGGAGGAAGCCCATTGCTCCCAGTCCTGCCCAGACCACTGAGAAGCAAGATGTAACCAGCCTGGCTGAGAAAGGTACTGAGCCATGTGGCTAACACAGATAAAAATAATGGGTTAATATAAGCTACAAGAGATAATAAGTAGCCTGAGCTAATGGGCCAATCAGTTTTATAACTTATGGAGATCTCTGTGTGATTTTCTTTGGGACTTGCCGGTTGTGGGGTACCAGGTGGAACAGAAACACCAACAAGCAGGCCTTCATGTTACAGAGACAGCCTAATGTGGTCACTTGGTGACATTGTGAGGATGCTGTTCTGTTTCCCAACATCTCATGTCGGAAGACAAGTTGGAGAGGGTCATGTCACCCTCATTCCCATAACACGCTCTGAGCAACATACTCATTGCTCCCCTTAGACATTTGGAGTCACATTCTTGATCGTGTTTAACAAGTCAGAAGTCAGACATGTTCTGCCACATGTCCTCACCTCACTGTCTGACCTTCATAGGCCAGTTTAACCCGATCTACCTTCAACTGCTTCCTGCTCCCCCACACCCCCCATATTTCCTGACATTTGACTTGATTTTTTCCTTTCTCTGCTTGCTTTTATCCCAATTAGAATTTGAATGTTAGTAAATTGAGTTAAATTTTCTGAGGGCAGGGTTGGAGCGGACCGTTGCATGCCAAACACGAGGCAACAGAGGCATTAGCATTGGGTGGATCACTCAGGAAGGCTCAAGGGGGCATGGCTCCCTGTCTGCCTCAGTCTCAGCTGCTATTCTAAGTTCCATAGACTGTCCTGTATTTAGTTCTAGGGGTTCTGGAGAATGGAGTGCTGAGATCAAGGTGCCAGTATAGCCAGGAGTGGAGAGGACCCTGCTCTGAGCAGTTGGTGTCTAATTTCTGATTTCACCCTCACTTGGAAAGAGCTGGTGGTTCTCTGTTCTCTCCTCACAAGGCCACTAATCTCCATCAGGGCTGGTCCCTTCAACCGAGTTACCATGCAAATACACTGCCCCAACACCCTCACTAGGGTTATGGTTTATGGTGTTTCACCCACAGGCACTGCCCCAGCACCCTCACTAGGGTGACTTTCCTTGCTCTCTAATCTCATCTAGACCTATCCTTCCTTTATATTTCACAAAGGATCCTACCTTGGGTTCTAATTCTAGGCAGCCATTAGTTGATACTGGGTATTCTACTTTGAACAGACCCTTAGAGTGGGAATCTAGAATTGGACCCTATCAGCCAGATGACAGGGACCCTGTCATCTGTAGCCACTGTGGCTACAATGGAGACAGCAGACAAGTGGAAAGGGGCATTCACCTCTGAAGATGAGGAAGCAGGATGGGTTGGAGGTACCCCTTAGCCTCCCCATTTATATGTTAAAGACATAAGTGCCAATGGGCTGCTATTTGGAGGCAGAGACTCTGAAGAACACTGATGAGGTCCTGAAGATGGGGTGTTTGTGGTGGGATTGGTGTATTATGAAAAGTGGGATCTTAGCAACAGAAAAGTTCTTCACCAAAATTCAAAGTGGCTCCCATCATGACCTTAGCATAAATTCCTCCTGTCTGAGTCACCCAGTCTGTAATAGTTTAGTTACATCAAAGTGACTAGGAGATGAGGAGTCTGAGAAGCAACTACAGAATTCATGGAGCTGAGTAGCTGCTGCTGAACACTACTGGTGTCTGGAAGGGAGAGACCCGGGCTCAGAATGAGTCACCAGCTAAAGCCAGGTATTGAGAACTAAAGGGTCCTTTGTTAGGTCTAGAGCTGCCACCTCTTCAGCGACAGGCCAATCGTGTTCCAGTGGGTGTCCCCACCTGGAGGGAGACATTGACAGCACAAAATGGAGTCTTGGGGGAGGAAGAGACAGAGACAGCTCTGGAGCCTTCTGTGTACCCCTTCCATTCTTTCCAGCCCTAGCTACAAAACCCAAAACCGCCCAGGTTCTGTCCAGCTAAGCATCAGGAAGGGAACAACACCTCACCTGCATTTGCTTACCGACACTGGGCTCAGAATGCCACAGAGGTTCTGGATCTGGGATCTGGGCTCCGCAGAGTGCACACGTGCCCCTTGCCTTCATCCCTACTTCCTGCTGCCAACAACGATCCGAACAGCAGTTGCCAGTGAAGACCCACAAGACACAGACGGCCCTCATAGGGCTCTTTTACCAAGAGACCCTATAGCACAGCAATTTCAAATGGCAGAAGTCGGTTGCACCTGACTGAGCATCTAGGTGGTCTGACTGTGGTAGGGCAAAGCGGGGAAGCATGTGCTTCCAAGTCCTTCTCTGCTTTCAGTGCCCCGTGTCAGGGCTTGCTCCTGTCTCTTTGGGTCTCCATCGGAATTCAGTCCCACAGTGGCTATTGCTGCAAGGGGAGGAAATAGCAGTGGTTTTATTTACTGGATAATGGTGTCCCCAGAGCCAGATAGATCCAGCACAAAATTCTACCAGCCTTCAAAGAACTAATACCAATGTCACTCAAATTAGTCCACAAAATAGAGAAGAAAGAAGCATTTCTAACTCTTTTTACAAAGCCATTAGAACCAAATAGTCACATACCCAAGCCAGATAAAGACCCAACAACAACAGCAACAATAACAACAACAAAATCAATCTCCTTGATGAGAGTATGTGCAAAAATTCTCAACAAAATGCTTGTCAACTCTCCTGGCTAGTTTATGTCAACTAGACACAAGCTAGAGTCAACTAAAAGGCGGAAACTACAATTGAGAAAATGCCTCCATAGGACTGAGCTGTAGGACTGTCTTCATTAGTGACTGATGGGGGAGGGTTCAGGCCACTGTGGGTGGTGCTATCTCTGGGCTGGTGGTCCCGGGTTCTATAAGAAAGCAGGCTGAGCAAGCCAGAGGAAGCAAACCAGTAAACAGCATCCCTCCATGGGTTCTACATCAGCTCCTGCCTCTAGGTTCTTGTCCTGCTTGAGTTCCTGTCCTGATTCCTTCAATGATGAACTACAATATGGAAGTGTAAGCAAAACAAACCCTTTCCTCCCCAACTTGTTTCTGCTCTTGGGGTTCCATTGCAACAATATTAACTCTATCACAAACTGTATTCAAGAAGACATCTAAAAGGTCATTCGCCATGATCAAGTTGGTTTCATTCTGAGGAGGCAGGGCTGGTTCAATGCATGTAAATCAATAAGCAATTGAACACATAAATGACCAGAAAGCGTAGGATCATTTCAATTGCTACAGAAAAGGCCTTCAACAAAATCCAAAATCTCTTCACCATAAATAAAGACTACCTATCATAAGCTAACAGTCACCATTTTGCTAAATGGAGATATTTGAATTCTAACACCAGTCTGATATGCTGAGGACGGGATAGGACAGGAGTAGCCTAGCCAGGAATTTCCTGGGAAGGATGCTGTTGTCTCTACAGCAGGTTCTAGCTGATACCCGTGGCCCTGGCTCATGTCACTTCCTCTGCCTTTGAAGCCAGGAGCCTTGCCTCCTCAGCCCCACTTCCATGACCTCATCTCTATTCTGAGTGTGTCCCCACATCCTCTCTTTTCTAAGAGTACTTGTAATTACACGAGGCCAGCCCAGTTAATAAGGGTGGTTGATATCTGTTTATTGTTTCATCTAATTCTGTTGTGTCTCTTTTGGAGACAGGGTCTCACTCTGTAGTCTAGACTGGCTTTGAACTCACAGCCATCTTCCTTGCCTCCGCCTTCCAGGTTGGGATAGAGGTGTGAGTCATGCACCTGACTCTGAGAATGTAGATTTACCGTGGCATTGCTACCAAGTCATGGGACCCTCATATGCTTGTCCACTGAGAGGTTTCTCAACTGCAGGCAAAGGAGTACTCACCTTTACAGAACAGAGATAGTGGGGGGGTTATGCAAGTTTCCCAAACTCATGCATAACATAGTGGCCATACTGGAAGTCCCAGAACCTGACTCTGGAACCCACTCCTAGCTCCTGCACCACAAAGCCTCCATAACACAAAATGCCTACTGTGTGCCTAGCCAGAACTGTTTCAAAAGAAACCTTTAACTTTCAAGTTCACTATGTCGTGGGCTGAGGCCCTCAGGGTCCAACTCTCTGCACCTCATAAGACTCACGTTGCTGCCTGTTGCTTTGGTGACCTAGCTCAGGGTCTGGGGGAGGTTGAATTGACAAGTTCTTCCCTTAAGCATCTTTACAGAGCAAGACTGAGGACCAATAGCTTCCCCTGAAGCCAAAATGAGAGACACCAAACCATCCCTGGAACAGAAAGCAGAAGAATTCTCAGCTTCCCTTGAGGGCAGTGAGTCTGGAAGATCTCTGAAAGATGCCCTGTGGGGTGGAGACTGAGCCTCCCAAGGGCAGGTGTGGACAC